CACTGGGGTGTGATTATTGTCAGTATTTCATACCGGACGGCGATGGCGACAGTCACACCGTATTTCTACGAACCATTGTGCTCTACGTCATACAACGACACTCTTGAGCACACCTACGAGGCAGTAGTGACCGAGTTTTTAAGAGTTTGGCACGATTCCACCATGCTGGGAGAGCCATATCCAATCGTTGAGGAGACCGTGTGGCTTTCCGGACCGAAGCAGCCCGACGAAACTTCTTGCGGTGTGCTAGTTCTCGCCTAAGTGTATACGATGCTTAAAAATAGCTCGCAATTTACCCGATGTGCTGTAAGCCATGACGACGTCACTATTATACGTCTTCGCATTATGTGGATGATCTTAAGGCAACCCGAGGTAACCACGAGAAAAAACAAGGTAGCGAAGGCGGTCCAAGACACAGATCTGGAACTACTGGCGACAATTAAGACGTAGCATGTTGTGTTTCGGAAGCCAATTAATTGTAAACTTCTTACTCAATAACCCCACTCTGGTCCTCAAATCCTCAATGCTGCGTGTGGCCTAACATTGAGCTGCAACACTCCTCAAGCACAACCGAGTAAGACATGGCGTACTTTGAGCTGCGAATAGGAACCCCCGTCACGGCTGCAATGCGGGTGGTTTCCTCCTTTTCGAGTGAGATCAATGTAGCTAGCTCATCCTGCGCATTTAACAGCTTCGCCGTGGACTTGGCCAGTTTTTCAAGCTTCCCTTCCATTAGTTCAATCTGCTGAAGCCGGGACTGAAGCAGCTTTTGGCAAAGCTTGGCCTGGTGAGTTTGAAGAGTCTCCGCACCACCACGGCGAGCTGCAGCTAGCTCTAGATACCCCGAAGGCGCTGGGTGACTAGCAATAGCGCTCTTAAGAAGGTTGGCGTGGCTGATGTCGTCTTCGCTCATACTTGTCTCCTTTAAAACGGCCGACTGCGATCTACTAAGAAATTCACAATAGGGGCCAGAAACTTTTACGGTTCCCGTCATCTATCTCTTTTAAATTACGCCACGAGCGTATTTTATTTAGCAAATGTTGCTCTCTGTGGCTCTCCTTGTGTCGATGTGGTCTGTTGCGTTGCTATAAGAGCTGTTGTCTTGTCGTTGACGAGCTGCAGTAACGCCGTCCCTGCTGGTCTCCAGTACTAATCCACGTGTTTCTATTTCGGCGCGACAAAGCTCGCAAAAGATTTGCGAGCCTTGTAAGTGATGGTGCGCTTGATCTGTTCTCTTGCATGGGCGTGACGCTCATCGTAGTGCTGAATTACGTGGGGCAGTATACCCCCGAGACTAAAGCTTTTGGTGTATACCCATGGTACAACGATGAATGGGCTGCGAAAGCGCTGAACGAATTCCAGATGGTACTTGTTGTATCGTGGTCCGATCTAGCCAGTCGAGTGATTTTTTCACTCGGTTTGCTTATGACAATAACCAACATGAAGAAGTTGCTGTGCCCCATTCCACGACATGGAAATCGAGTTGTAGACTCCAAAGACACATCGCTGGACATCCCTGAATCTGAAAAAGTAAAGCCGAATACCGTCCCAGGGATACCGAAGAAGCATCATGGAAGGAAAGCGAAGTGGTCGCGCTGGTGGCAAGTGACGATTCATGGTATACATCTCGTCTTCTTTATGTGGGGGGTTGGAGTTCTTAGTCTACACATCCATGCATCAGTGCAAACTTCATTGCAGCAGTGCACACTACAAGTGAGACCGTGGGCAGCTGTCCGCCCGTGCTGTTTCTTGGTATCACTCGATTGCCATCGCCTCCAAATTTCTGGTCAACTGGAAGAAGTCGACTCCAAATGGCGAGAATTTGACGGATCTACGGTGGCTCTGATGGTTATCAAACATTGTCCTTTGGTCGCGATCCCCGATACATTCAATGAATTCCACGAACTCATCAGCGTTGAAATATATAATTCGACAATCGTCGACTGGAGAGAATCGGCTGCAATTACGAATACGAACCACCCGGCATTTTTGACTCTTATGGTCGTTCGGACCAACATGACAAACGGACAATTGCCGGCAGGTTTCCAATCCATTGACACACCGGTCAACTTGTACGACTAGGAGTTTTGTGCTACTAATCTTCGTCAAGTTCCAGACGATCTCGACCTTAAGTGGCTAGCAGGATCGATTGTCATCATCGAATACAGTCAACTGCAGGTCGTTCCCCAAGCTCTATTACGCGTTATGCCATCCTATTTTTCACTCACCGGCAATCCCATCAGCGAACTTCCACCTGAGATTTTTGAGATTGAAGGGTTGACAGACCTGGGTATCGGCGATACAAATTATTGAGAGCTTTCTCAGAATGTGACTCAACTCTCACCAGCACTCTCGTCAATCTACGTAATAGGTACACGGATATCGCTCTTTTGGTCGTGGGTGGATGACATTCTCGGGCGGGACAGTATTCGAAGCATACCACGAGCGATCTATGCAGGAAACACAATTTATTGTGACGATTTGTAGAGGATTTCGACGAAGTTAACCAGTTCTTTTAGTACTGTAACAAGTTCTGATTATTCTCTACAACTTATGGATCCAGCGGAGGCAGGTTTTGAGGGGAGTATCTGGTCGTTTGTGGACTGTAATCCTGCCATAAGTGGACTCAGTGGACCTCTATACCCCCTAGCAGCGGAGGACAAGCAGAATGCACTCCACAGTTGAACACCGGAGATACCATTTTGCACTTTGCATAACAGTTTTCATTTTATCCTTTTAAAGCAAAAGGCTTATTGAGGGAGACTTCTGTTCTGTACGAGCAAGGCTAATTTCTTGCACTAAAGTCCTACGTACCGGAATCGACGAAAAAAATGCAATACCGCGACCAAAAATCTAATACGACAAAAACCATGTGGATGACACCCCGCCCCAAGGAATAAGTCATTTTTTTAATTTTCACTATTATCGCCTTCCTCTTCTACTGTATCATAGTATTTTTGAGCTCGTCTCGTACCTCAACGACGAACACTTGGTTTCCACACCTAAATAGGACAGATACAAAAAATATATATAAAGAAATAGAAATAAAATTCTATTTCAACAAACCTCATTTATCCATTCGAGCATCCACTCTTCGTCACAATACGCATTCTTTTGAGCTGTGAGAATAGCTCCCTTGCGATAATAGTGGTTACCAATCAACTCCTGGTGGGGTGGTCCGCTTCACGCGCCCGAAAAAACGACGAGCGCCAAAAGCTTCTTCCCAAATACCGAAGCACGAAATGAATATTTATGCCTTTTTACCTTTTTACGATTTACTTGGGGTGATAATTTTACAGCGTTGCATTATTTTTTCGTCGATTCCGGTAAGCTATGTTGCGTGTAGAAAGCAATCTCTCAAAACATACCGGTTTTCTACAACCGGTGTAAAAAGTACCTTCAGGTCAAAACCGTAAAAACGGCGGAAGGCGTAAAATCTCGCACAAGATACTCCTGTCCATTTGAAACCGTCGCTTTGCTTAAGAAAAGGCGCGCTTTAACTGGGACACTGTTTTGATGCCAAACAGATTAATTTTGCAGACTTTTTACGGACACTGGTTGCAAAAACTTGATCGGTTGCAAAAATACCGTACATTCCGGTACACGATGTAAGCTAATCCTGGGACGTTGTACAGTACAGAAGTCCCTCAAAGTAAGCGTAGGGGGACCGAGACACGATCTTAGAGGGTGATAAACAGATGTTTAAAAAGTACTGATATTTAGTTAAGAAGCGAGGCGATCTTGCTCCTGTCACAGAATGCCTGCGTGCCGCTAGCAGTTCTGAATGGTTTTGGGTGAGATCTCGTCGTAGGCCACCTTACTCCAACAAAGAGCGGTGTAGATATCTAGAGCCAGTGTCAGCCGATGTTTGGGGTCTTTGCGTCCAGAGAACACCTTCCTCTGCGTGAGAGTGTACTTAGCCTCGCTCCGAAAGAAGAACGAGGTCTCATCCATGTTGCAGATCTCGGACCGGGCGTACGAATCCGTCAGCTTTCCTAGTTTCACACGTCCGGCTTCAGCTGCCTCTTGGTCAACTGACGCAGCTTCGCCGTGCTTCCGCTTCTTGGAGATTCCGTGACGCTCTTGCAATCTATACAGCCAGCCCTTAGAGAGCTTCAACGTGGTGTTCTCGCCATACACGTTCACGCGAAGAGCAATGGCCTTTATTACCTTGCCTGTGATAGCCTCCACCTTGCCGTCCATTGCCTTAAAGACCTTCATAATGCGAGCGTCCGTCTCCTGGATTTGGGGGCTGACGAGCTGCATGCGCTCTAGCTGACAGGGCTCTATAGCGGCCCACTTAGACTCCCCAGCGATAACATTGCGAGCGGCATCGCGTGAAAGAGATTTTTCCAGCTTGAACGCACGGGTTGCCCACGCTGCGAGCTGTGTTGGACAGTTTTCCTTTGGCGCGCATATCCTTCGCATACTTGCACATGAAACAGTTTTACTTATGAGAGCCCCGGGGTCCCGCCTATTGTTTCACATAGCGATCTTCTGCTCCATATTAAGGCGGATCCGGCGCGGCATGGGGCTGGCGGTCATGGTCGCTTGGAAGAGTGATAGTGAGCATGGAGGGAGGCGTACGAAGCGGGAGCATGAGTTACCTCGTACATTTAATCCCCATTTTCAGTCTTTCAATGGTTTAGTTAGCGAAGAGACCGGACCGGTCTGAAAATGATGGAGATCTTTCCCGCCGACTGCAGTTCATCCAAAATCAGTGCATTTTTGTGATTGGCCAGTTGAACCTGTATGTACCGTAGCAGATATGGCGGGGTATTACGTAAGTAGGTGACGCTTACTTTGAGGGACTTCTGTATTACGTTTAAACGATACCGTAATCCACAGCTCGTGTTTAGCTCAGGCGTAAACTCTGAACCTGTTTACTGTACTATCATACACTGTTCTTCACCCATGCGATTTCTCACTTCGCATTTTTCCTTCTACCAAACAAAACCAACCACTAGGAGCACCTATTGTCGATGCGGACCGACTACCCGATGCTGCTAGCAGCGGCCATTGTGTTTTTACACATCCCTGCCTCGACGATGCCTGCGGCTGAAGCGAGGCAAACAGCAGCGAATATTATGTACCCAGTTCTCGATGGAGAACAGAACGTCCTTGGCAAGCGATCCCTAAGAACCGACCACATGAGAGTTAGCAATGTTGAGGACCGAGAAGGTGATGAAGAACGAATTTTTCGCCGATTTACGGATTGGATCAAGTACATTTTTAACAAGATGAATCCGAAACAGTTACACACCTACTTGGGCTTAGATGGCCTTGGCGAAACGGCCTATCAGCACAAGAACTACCCGATCTATCTGATGAAGTCGAAAAAGTGGCGGGACAAACTATAAATCAAGAATCAACTCATGGACCGAGAAGGACATTGATGGCGGTCAGGATAAAAAAAACTTAAAGCCCAATAATTACGGTATTGGCTCACTACAATAATTGATTATTGTCGTACTGACACAGTGAAGTATTACGTTTGGGCTCCTGACTTTATCGAAGCGAAACGATGGAAACCCATCGACACGGGTAGAACCGCTTACTTCTGTAAAGTATATGTGCCAACTTGCAAGCACTAACTATCAGGAAATCGCACCTGTTCTACAGGCTTAAAAGGGTTTTGGACCCTACTGAAGCTAAATATCAATGCCTTGAAACGAAACATGAAAATGGGTTGCTTAACACATGGGCTTCCTGGATATACAGGTTGCTTGCATGGCGGGTAAGTGAAGTACATGTATGCAATGCGACGCCGTCTCCGCGGCACTTGCCGCCAAATTTGGTTGCCCCTCGTGGCTCGAAGTGTCCGCCATGCACATACTGTATATATTGCCTATAAAAACATTTCTACCAATTTTAACGATTGTTTTATACTTTGTTTTCTATTTCTCAAAATAGTGCATACATTAAACATATTGGGAGAGCTTTGGTAGTCAAATAAAGAATCAATGGTCACTTACAGAGGCTCAGTTAGAGAGGTGTGACTGTATATGGAATGTCGCTCCGTTTTATAGTTTGTACTCACGATAAAATGATACACTATTAATACTTTTGAGCCGCGATAGATCTCAAACTACTTACCTAAACTTAACGAAATGAATCACCACGTGGTTTATCTTTAAAGTAGCAACTAGGGCACCTTTGTAGTGCCAAAATGTCAGCTACACGACGCCGCCGAGTAAACATTTTTTATAGGAAAGGAACTGGTCGACTTCTTCCACAAACACGAGGCCAGCACAATCACATCGGATGACCTATTGGCTGCTCATAGACAGTGATATAAAATCTAGCCTCAAAAACTACAGCCAGCCAGTATCGACTAACAGTAACCAATGTATGGCAGCACATAATAAATATTATTTAAAACACGCAACGATATGCTGTCAAAACGCTTACATGCTGAAGCTGACATTACCAGACCCACCTATTCTAGCATCGACAGCACTCGGGCGCTACATTGAGCTTTTGTATTTACTCATCAGTATGAAAGGTATACAGAGCATGAACAAGGAATGCTAACGACGTTAATGAGAACCCAGGTCATAAAACACAAGCGCAAACGTCGCAGTTGCTTCTTTCACCAAAATGGCTACATGTAGCGATTTTCTTTAAATGACCATTTCTTTAAAATAATAGTCGATTTCGGCCGAACCATTTGGGTACCACTTAGAGAGATGTGATTGTACACACTTTAACGAGGCTATACTATACAAAATTAAGTCAAATCAAGGTAAGAGGGCGATTTTTTCGCTCTTTTAGCTGTAACGAATTCCCTCAGCTATGACATTCAGAAAGGTGTTCGCACATAACCAGAAATTGCATGTACGGTCTATCCAAAGTGTTTAAAAAACTATTGTTGTAGATTATTATCTGCAGCGGTTCGGAACATGTCGTCAAAATCATCGTCCAAACTATAATAACAGCGTAAATTCTGCTATCTCCATGTCTAAATCCCCCGATAAAAGGATTTTATTCACGATGTCATTTGCATCCTCGTACTTTTAGGTTCGATATCGTCGTGTTCTCCACCACCACGTTCAATCAAACCCATTCCTCCCTCAAATCTTCTATACAGCGTACCAAACAAAGCTCCTTATCTTTTGGCAGCACCGTGCCCTCACCTTTCGCTCGTGACTTTTTCTTTTTTCGAGTTTGGGCCGTGTTCGGCGCCAACAATGAATAAGTGTACGGCGGCTGTCATATTTAGACTGAGTAAAATCAGTATACAAATTACTCATCGATCGCTTGATGTCTCCACCCCTTTCCAAGGGGTGTAGGACCTCTAGTTTGTGCGCCGCTGTGAATAATGACACGAGGTTATTCTCACTTTACGGCCTCGGCCTCCTGGAAGTCGCGGTCGCCCTTTTGGGCGGCGGCGTTGCGTAGAAGCCATCCGATGGCAAAATGAACAGACAGAAAGACAGTCCGTACGGCTGAATGCGATCGCCAAAAAGGATGCACGGAGTCTTTCCCGCTCCGCCCCTGATGATGAAATCCTCCTAAATGT